CCCTTCCAACTACCACAAGTCCCTTATGGCCTACCTCCGGCAGCCGCCAAGCCTCTCCTTCCTAGTTCTGTTGTTGTTAACCATTCCCCACACCCCACTTTCCAACTGTCAGACCTTCACGGCAAGCTCCTACCACCGCAAACCCCCATCCTCATCTTCTTGTTGTTGTCGCTTCCTCTCAACCAACTCACCTCTCTTCTACTTAACCGCAACCCGCCATATTCATCCTCACCCTAGAGTGTCTTTTACCGTTTGTGTGTTGTCTTTCTAATAATCACGAGTCTTGAAGTTGTAATCTCTTTCGAAATTTAACAATAATATTTGTATTTCTATTGTGGTTTGGGTTAACTCTGGTCTCATTCATTCAAAGTTATTAAAGGATCACAATTTATCAAATAAACTACAGTGTTCATTTTTTTCTGCCCAGAGCTGCTTTAACAAACCTTCATGCAACCCCATACTCCTGACATAATCTGTAATGATTCCATTCATGCGCTCAACCAATTTCATTCTGTTGTGGTGTTTCTTGAGCAGTGAATTCATGTTTGATTTCCTCTGATGCACGATAACTGATGAACCTTTGATCACGATATCACCACCATTATCTGATCAGAGAAACTTCAACATCAAATTTGTCTCATTCTCAGCTATGGTCTTCCACTTCTTAAACACATCAAATAGATCAGATTTATGCTATTAAAAATATACTCATACCTTTCTTATGTATTCGCCAATGAAAGTGACAAAGGTGTTGCAAACCTCAAATTGACAAAACTTTAATAAAACCTCATAAATCGGTATGCACTAACTTCACCTTTTTGGGCTTCGCATTTGACCCACTTTTGGAGAAAATGAGCTTTTACTTGTCATAAATACAATCATCACAAAAATCTAAGAAAAAACTTTAAACCTTAAAATTTCTTTTTTTAAAAACAGAGAATTCGTACCTTTCTCACTCATATGGTTAAGTTTGTAGTGGCAAAAACCTGTATCGACATTTGTTCCAGTTACATCAATGAATTCAACCATCTCATTGATTAGGTAAAGAGTGCCTGCAATGTTGTCGTAAGTCATCAACATCGCCTATCTAGTTATCTTCAATGAATAACCTGTGAAAATAGTCTCATGCCCTAAACTTGTAAATTGGCTCACTAAAATTAATCTTCTATTTAAAGATAAAACATGTCAAACTTCACTAAGCTTTTAAGCTATTCCATTTGACAACCTGATATCAACATCACCCTTTCTACAATATTGCAGTTCTTATTATTTCTCAAATACACATTCTCTAAATCACCTTGAGTGTAATTTTTAAACATTTCCTTGTTGGGGTAAGCATTAAAAAGGGTATCTGAATCTACTATCCAAGATCAATATTATTTGGGGAAAAAATAAGAGAGTCACCTTGGAATTGTTCTACGGAGACATTTGTAGAGAGCTTCTTATCTGAATCTCTACCATCAACATTCTTCTGAGCTTTACAGTCCTTCTTGAAGTGACATTTTTCTCACAATTTTAGTATTCTCGTCTTTCTTTCTTCGACTTGGGCATTCCTCTTCTGGACTTGAACTTCTTCTTGCCTCTGTTCCTGTCCAGAGTCCTTCCTCTTTTCAACATTCAACACAGAATTTGAAGTTTCACCACTCACCCTCTTTTGGACTTCTTCACTAAATACTAACCCCACAATATCATCAAAATTTAACATCATATTACTTGAAGAATTACTCACTATTGTGGCTAATCCATCCCAAATATCACACAATTAAGATAAGAGAACTAGCTTCCTGACATCGTCGTCAAATTTGATGCCCACAATACGCAACTGATTTGTTACAATGTTTAAATTATTCAAGTGTTCCGCTACTAAACTATCATCAGCCATCTTCATATTAAGCAATCTCTTCCTCAAAAAAATTCTATTTAAGGTTGAAGCTTCTAATACAACATTGTTATTACAACCATGAGATTTACCATAGTGTCTTATACACAATGTTGAAAGCAACAAACGAGGAAAATGAAAGACAGATTAAACATAGTGTTATTCGATCAAGCACTTCCCATTCTTCCAGAGCCATCAATTTAGGCTTCTTGGTGATTCCTTCCAGTGGCACTAAAGTTTATTTTCATACAATAAATCTTCAATTTACATTTTCTAGAACGTGTAGTTCATACCATTGAACTTGTTCACCTTGTAACTTGCATCATTGAGCCTTGCTCATACTCAAATAAAATATCTTTAAAAAATCCTGCTCAAATACCACTTATTGAAGAATATTCACTTCCCATTACTTGCGGAAAATCTCTAATTCAAGAGATTTGAAGCAAAATAATTGATCAAAAGCACACAAAAACGAAATCCAAGAAAAAGAATACAAAGATTTAATGGAATCACGAGCCATCAATTTAAGCTTCTTGGTAATTCCTTCCAGTGGCACTAAAGTTTATTTTCATACAATAAATCTTCAATTTACATTTTCTAGAACGTGTAGTTCATACCATTGAACTTTTTCACCTTGTAACTTGCATCATTGAGCCTTGCTCATACTCAAATCAAATATCTTTAAAAAATCCCGCTCTAATACCACTTATTGAAGAATATTCACTTCCCGTTACTTGCGAAAAATCTCTAATTCAAGAGATCTGAAGCAAAATAATTGAACAAAAAAGCACACAAATAAGAAATCCAAGAAAAAGAATACAAAGATTTAACATTAAAAAACTTGAGAACAGGAAAAAACCATGGAGCCACATCACACCAAGAAATTCACTATGAAATGAGGAGAAATGTTCAGATTACATCACACTCAAATCCTCTCTACAATCCTAGAACTTACAAACACTCATCTCTTGATCACATAAAAGAAATTCGCAAAAGACTGCTCAACTTGCAAACACTGCTTCATGTTTGCTTACCCTTCCCGCAATGAAGAAAGCAGAAAATTAAAGTTTCAGACCGCAAAATCGGCTACAGGCGACAAGGCGTCGCTTCCGAGCATTGGGTTCCCTGGCGCTCAGGTGTAGGTAGCGATTTGGGCACCGCTACACCCCTCCTGGGTGTCGGCTTTCCACGCGCTCGGGTCCTGGTGTCATTCTTATGGACGCTATATCGCCCGTCCCTAGCATCGAGTTTCCAGAAGCTCTGTTTCTAAAATGCATTAAAGATGACCCTATTGTTGAATGCATTAACTCCAATTAGCGATGACTATGTTGTTATATTTTGCTTCATTTTATTATAGGTGATATTAACACTAGGTATTTTAGAGATTTTTTTTTAATATTTTGAATACAATTTCATATTGTCAAAAATAAGTTTTATGAGCATAACAATTCCTCAATGATTGCAATTCATTTTGACCTTTTTAATAGAAAACATTGAAAATAGTATATTCATATTAATAATTTATTAAATATAATAAAAATGTGTTCAAGTCGTGTTATGGTCTACTTTTCGCAATTATGACATTTTGCATCATGTTGTATCGTCCCCATGTATGTGTTCATAGATTTTGAATTTCACAATGTATATTTCACATTGATTAACTATATTGCTTCTCTTAAAATGTGCACATCTCAATCATTTCAATAAATCAAACTCAACTTTTATTTATATTAAGTTCACTAATAATATGTTTTTGCAAATTTTGCCAATTTATCTTAAATGTCATGTACTGCTGATAATTCAATTGCAAAAGTTTTTGTACACTTCATTAGTTTTACATACATTCCTGCCTTTTATGGTCTATTGTTATAAGTCGTAATCATAAGTGTATTTCAACTCACTTAAAGTTCATACGTTATATACGTCACAATTTAAAAGGGAACAAAAGCGCTTTGCACTTGCTGTCCTTATTTGTAGTTCGAAATTTATCAGAACAAATTATTTTCATCTTTCGCCGACATAATGGACAAATGAATCCATAAAAATTAGTAAATTAAGGTCGGATTGGTACCTACAAGTTTTCCTTTAATACAAGAAGTTGAGCTTCGCAGAAGTACTTATTTAAATGGGAAAGGGCAACTTGTTCACAAATACCCTGGTAGTAGGAAGGAAAAAAGTCGGCTTGTCGCATCCACCTTACCATCGCGTAACAAGTTCTGGGGCCATTAAATTTATGAATCTATTCTATCAAAACATGCTATTGCACCTAAGTCAGCCCTTCTATCGACTTATACTAGGAGGCACAAGTAGGAGTGCAGCTTTTCAAAGGCCAAATAGTCTAAAATATTTGCAAAAAGATTTGTTGCCATTTTAAAAAAATTGAGAAAAATGCCTACTAACAAATTCAATTCATTACACTAAAACCATTGCTATTAAATAACTATTCCAGCAATAAGAAGGCTGGCAAAAAATCCTTACTAAAATTGATTGAATTAATGTTTACTTTAATGATGTTCTCTATGTTTACTCAAAGAAAGGGAGGCCAAACAAATCTTACGTATACCCTTTGGCTGAATAGACTGCCATAAAGAACTTTTCCAACTATTACACTTATTAATTGTCTTATTTAATGATAAGCGTGGATGACAAAGCTACCACTGATCAAGGTTACTATATTGAATTACTTGCGCCATGTGAGCACGAATAATTAAGATTTAAATTGAACAGTACGTCATACCATTTGAATGCACCTTTAGATGATCTGGTGCCTTACTGAACATAGGTCAACCACACATGTCAAGTTATATATGTGATAATAAAAGAATGAGAAATTTGCATGCATACCCCACAATTCTTATGTATTTATATATCTAACAACCAAATTTTGATATTTACAATTATAACAGTTTGATGTCATAAATTTATGCATGTAAAGGTGTATCTCACTTTTAAAAAGGTAGTGATGTTGGTATTGTTTATGTGATGTTAAAGAATTCAATCGAATGCATGTAAATATGAATGCTTAGGTGTTAGAAAGGTAAAAACATAAGAATTGTGTGGTATGCAAGTATATGCCCCTAAAAGAAAAGATTAATAAAGAGAAGTCATAAAATTAGCATACCCGAAAGTGCTTTCCATCTCTGTATCTGGTTGCAGATCTAGACAATCTATAGCGAATACAACCTTTCTGATCCAATCTTTCGATGACAGGATCAACATACTGCCAGTACATTGCAGAGTAAAACTAACTTGATTTGCCGGAAATTAAAAAAAAAATCTATATTTACCATATTCAACTGATCGGAGTATACAACGATTTCAAAGAATTTGGCAAGATGTTCCAAGAAAGCATCAACGCCAGGCCTTTTGAATGTTCTCCAGCCTCTTTCACGCTTCAACAACAGTAATAAAATCTATTAAGATTTTTGTATTTAATAAATATAATGGGTATAAATACTATCATTCAGGCTTCAAATGAGTATGCATACATTCTTAAAGTGAATAACCCAATCTCATCTAAAGCAGTAGTCCTGTGCCACAGCAAGAAATCATTATTTGTTTACCATCATTTTCAGTCATTAGTCTTCTGTTTACAAACACGAGCAGGTTGCCAGTATCTTGCTTGAAGGAGGAAAAATAATAATAATAGAACACTTTTTGACTGGCATTCATAAAATGTTACAAACAAGGAATTGAGAAAAAGGTAACATAAATATCACCTTTCCCATCAGGCTGGCATTTCTAAATTTGACTGGTATGACAATGAAAATTAAGAAAAAATACATTTGCCCTCTTCTGCCAATGGATCTAACAGAAATGCCAGCTTGTATGTGTTCTACGGAAGATTTAATTAATAAAGCAAACATTACATCTTTGGTTAATATAGTTGATGCAACATATCATAATTCATGCATAAGGAAATCAACGGGAAAAAGAAGACTTTTGTGCTCAATCATTTGCATCGGGATAACCTTTCCCATCAGACTTTAGAATTCTGTCTACTGAAGTCGATATAATTTCCTTCAGAGATGAAAAATGATTTGAATTTTGTGAATATTTTATTAGGGACTCGCCCCTTTTTATAGACAGAATTCTAAATTGCAATTGGTAATTTCTACCTATGGAAACTATTAATTACAATATGAATAAAGAAAGATATTCTAAATCATGCATACACAGCTACTTACCTGAAAATTTGAGAGGGATTTCTGCCTCTAAAGGCCAATGGATAGTCAATGATAGATGACAAAATGGGTGCCCAGCTTGGCAATCCATGTACTCCTATTAATTGCCATGTTGGCTGCTAGAACACAAATACTCCTCAAACTAAGAAGTAGAAATTTTCATGCCCAACTTAGAGGTGATATTCTGGAATGCAGACCTCAGTAGCTATTAGTTAGAGGGTGTTTGGCTGCCTATAAGATTTAGGTTAAATAGGATTTAGTAAACAGTGTTTGGTTCAATTTAAGGTTAAATTCATTAAATTCTCTTAACGTGTTTGGCATAAATCCACTCCTATGACTTTCTTCTTAAGCTAAATCCTTTAAATCCACATGATAATCGGATTTAACAAATCCAGATTTATGTTAAAAAAATAATGAAAGCCAAGAAAAATTGCATTTAGCGAACTGTGAATTTAATTTCTCGGAATTTTTTGTTTGGCTAGATTAACATTAAAGAAGATATAAATTCTGCTTAAATCCCGCTACCAAAAGCCCCCTTAGGATGTTAGTAAACTACTTCTATGTTTAAGCATATGGCACGCCTAGCAGTTTGCTTTCTCATTTTTTTCTTGATTAAGTGCCAACCGATTTTTGAGTTTGGTTTGTTCATATTAGACTGGATTGTGTGCCACATTTCAACAGCCACTTTTTAGTAGAGAATAACTTCATAATATTCTCTAATTTTATTCACAAGTCATCCAGAATAATTTTCATCCATAATAGTTCACAGATGTATCAAGCCAATTGCTCAAGTTTGGAGCTAAATTGGCGACCAATGATTGTTTCTGCATCTCCAAGTAATTAGATTTTCACCAAAGAATGATCACTAACCAGTAATATATCATCTACATATAACGATTCCTACCCAATCAGCATCAGTGTGCACGCAAACTTCAAAACAGAGCCTTCGATTTATTTTAAATAACAGTCCTAGTACGGCTGCAAGATATCAATAGTTTTTAATGCTTCGTGTAGATGTGTTTCTCGAAGATTATACATAAATTGACATAGAATACTCTAAACGTAAACTATGCATGAACTTGGCAGGCAAGATAAACAAATCTCCCGATCAATCTTTAATGCCTCCCATAGAAAATAAGTTTGGAGAGGAATAAGTCTCTTAATTTTTATATTCACATGTAGGGTATATGTATATAGGGGAAAACAATCTCTCCTAATTTACAAACTTACCAAACATAGAAACCTAACTTAGGAAAGGAGATATTCTAAAATAAGAAATAAAAATAATATAGAAGATGGAAATAAATTAATCAAGAGTTTCCGAAGTTGTCACAATCAAATCCTTCCTTCAGAATTTTCTCATATTTCCACACTCCCACTCAAGTTGGGTCGTAGATGTTGTAGAGACCAAGCTTGATATTGAACTCTGGGAAGGTGCTTAAAGGAAGAGCTTTGGTGAAGATATCGGCAACTTATTTATGTGTCGTGATGTAGCTTAGTTGTATAATTTCCCCATCAACCTATTTCTCAGAGATGAAGTGTCAATCGACTTCAATATGCTTGGTCCTGTCATGATGCACAGAATTCTTTACAATACCTTTTACAAAACATATTTATAGACCTATTGGTACCAATTCCTTTAACATTTTATGAATCCAAATTCCTACACAGGTTCCCAAGGCAAGAGTTTTTTTACTCAGATTTTGCACTACTTCTAGAAATGACAGCTTGTTTCTTACTTCTCCATGTCACTGGATTTCCATACATATAAGCAATAACCCATGGTGGACCTTCTAACATTGGATTTCTCAGCCCAACTAGCATTAGTGTAGACTTCCACTTCTCGATTTCTGATTTTCTCAAAAATTAATCCACGGCCAACAGCCTTCTTGAGAAACCTCAGAATCTTGTATATCATCTTCAAATACACTTTAGAATAGCTATTCATGTGTTGACTCGCAATACCGACAGAATATGTAATATCAGGCATAATATGTGATGAATAAATGAGTCTTTCTATCAATCTTTGGTATTTTCTCTTATCTACAGACACACTTTCATCTTTCCTGTCAGATTTGTTGTTGGGTTATAATGGAGATAGCAAGTGTAATAACCTGTTAATTGAAAATTACAATTAATTTAATTATAAGAAAAATGAAAATGAAATAAATTATCCATTACAACACCTATGAAATAGGTGTTGTTTCACAAACATCGTTCGAAAGGAAAGCCACAGCTCGTGGGAAACTCAAATTACGGCTTTCCCACATCCCCTCTCATTCGTACACATTGCACACACATCGAACATCTACTTATCCTACCACCAAGAAACCATCTATTCTTTTGGTTTGACAAGCACATCCTCCCACTTTCCGTGTCTACACTCGATGCACTGGTTCTGATGCGCCTACTATGGAGCTCGCTAACCCTTTTTGGAGCTGAATTCTCTCAAGACGACATCGCCAACACTGCTCCTGCTCCAAATGTGGAAGTCAGTTCTTATATCCCAAGGCAATCAGACAGGTTCTCTCTATCCCATGGCAAACTATGTCTCTCTTCGCCGATTATCCCCAACCCACAAAGCATTTGCTACGGCCCTGACCAATCAACAGCTTTCATCTACTATTGAGGGTGTCATGGCAGACCCAGCCTGGAAAGTTGTCGTCATGGAGGAGAAGAATGTCCTTCAGCAGAACTATACTTGAGACATTGTTGATCTTCCTCAAGGTAAGAAAGCAATGGGATGTCGATGGACTTTTAGTATCAAGTTTAAATCGGATAGATCCTTCGAACATAACAAGGCACAACTGGTTGACAAAGGATACTCTCAAACCTATAGAGTTGATTATGAGGAGGCACTTGCTCCTGTTGTTAAATTAAATACCACTCGGGTCCTCTTATCCCTAACAGTGAATTTGGAGTGGCCCTTATTTCAACTTGCTGTCAAGAATGCGTTCCTAAATGGTAATCTTACAGAGGTACACATGGCTTTTCCTCTCGGTCTTGACTCCATTTCCTCCAAGGGACAAGTATATAGACTATGAAAATCTATTAATGGATTGAAGCAATTACCACGGGCATGGCTTGGGAAATTCACAAAGATGGTGGTAGGTCATGGATTCACTCGGGCCCAATCTGACCAAACTCTCTTCTTCTGGCATTCCTCCAGCAACTATGAAGCTATCCTTATTGTCTATGTTAACGATATTGTTCTCACAAGTAATGATTTACCAGCATTTGACTCACAGAAAAACATTCCTTTTGCTCTTATGAAATGAAGGACTTGGTAACTCTCCGATACTCGGTCATCTCAGAGTGTTTTTTTGTCTCAACGGAAATATGTGATTGAACTATTGACAGAGAACAATCTTCACCTATGCAAATCAGTAGCTATCTCGATGGATTCCAATGAAAATTTTCTTGATATTCTCAATGTTGTTCCTGTAAATAAGACTCATTACCAGCACCTTGCGGAGAACTCATCTTTCTTTCCCATACATGTCCGGACATATGCCACGTACTAGGGATAATCAGTCAATTCATGCATAATCCCTATGAGCACCACCTCCAAATTGTCCATCGGATTCTTCAATATGTAAAAGATAAACCGAGCTCGGGTTTGTTTTTTTTTCCCACCACACATCTTCTATTGCAATTTACATGTCGATTGGGCCAGATCCGTCCAAGATCAATGATCTATCTCGGGATACTGCTCATTTGTGTGGGAAAACCAGGTTAAATGGAAAAGCAAAAAACTGTCTATAGTTGCTCAGAGCAGTGTGGAAGCTGAATTTTGTTATGTCCTTTGAAATTTGTGAAGCTCTCTAATTACGCATCATGTACCACAAACTCTGAATACCAGTCTCTGCTCCGCTACAGTTGATATGTGATAACAAAGCTGTCATTAACATTGCTCACAACCCAGTCCAACAGGATCGCACCAAGCATGTTGAGATTGATCGTCACTTCATAAGGGAAAAGCTCAAGTGTTGGAAAATTTGTGTTCCGTTCATGTCATATAGTGGTCAGCTAGCAGATATTCTCAGAAAGAACATTTCTCAACCAAGTGGTCCATGATTTCAAATCTAAGTAGCACATTACTGACATCTATGTTTCAGGTTGAGGGGAAGTATTAGAATATTGGAATATTAATAAGCATATTTCTTTATTCATTACTTTGATTTGCTTTTATTTACTTTCTTTTTTCGTTTATTTTTTTATTTATTTATTTCCTTGCTAGTATATCTTGTAGTAGAGAATTTATACCCCTCTTTGCATCAATATGAAACACTCTAGTTCTACTCTATTCCATTCTAACACTTACAAACCAGAAATCCTTGTAAAATTTTAAAAGAATGGAACTCATAAATTTATGTTTATGAGTTCCCCATCAATAGAAAGAATTTCATTATGCATGCTTTGGAATGCATGAATTTCAAATAAGCGGATATCATACTTTAGTCAACGAAGTTTTATGAACCGTATAAAAATATTACTCGAAATGTCTATCATAAAGTATAAAATTAATTTAATTATTATAAATGTACCTCCAAAGAATTATTGTCCAAATGTAGATTTATATAATCATCATTTTATAAAGTAAGAAATAAGTCTTAGTAATTTTTTTTTCTAGATCTCATATGAGTTATGGAAGTTATAATTGATTAAAACTAATCAAGTTAAAATAAATTCTATTTTATAAAAGTTAAGTGAACATTGAAAATTTAGGGTAAATGATAATAATCATGATAAATCAATTATTAGATTTTTTTTATAAAGTCAAAAATTAGTTTCGGTGAAAGAGAAATTTAACCATAACTTATGTAGAGTAAATATATGTCAAGATACATAATTTTTTTTAACTATAGCTTCATGAGTCTTAGATTCAGATTTTGTGTTTACAGGTTAATTAGTAATGAAGCAAGAAAAGTGACCAGGAACATTAAGATCATCACGTTAATCAAGGCTTCAAAGAGATTTAAGGCGAATATTCTTAATTTTGATTTATGATAGCATTTTTATTTTCTTCTAGATGAGTTGCATTGGAAGTTGTTGATACCTCTAATTCCACTTACATAATTTCATTTTGATTTATATGTTATTTTCCTTATTGGTCACCTATTATCACGTATTCAATTAAGGATATATATATAACGTGATATAATTGAATGGGATGAGCATAAGAATGATATGGACTATAGTATGTTTGCATGTGTATGTTGACAGTGATGGAGTTCACTCATTTATGATACTAGCGAGAAATATTAAGTACTCATGCACATAAATAAAAAAGGTTATTAATGTAACTTAATTGGTACAATTCTTAGACGGTGTTTCTGTGACGATTGTATATATATTAAAAAGATATTGATATGTGAATGATATAGTAAGAAATAGCTAATATTTAAAATCACCTTGAATAACCATACTGAATAGTAAAAACCGCAAATACTCTTATATTGCTTTACTTCAAATTTAATTAGTATGTATATTGTTTTCTTCTTCATTATGTTACTATAATTTAGAAGTATGAGTATTCACTGGCGTGTTAGCTCATTTGTTTTAAATTAATATTATTAGGTTGAAATTGTAAAGTAAAAATAAGTAATATAAATGAGAATATTTATAAAAGATGTGGACAACCTGTATTAAGATAAATTTATCATATATTGAATTAATTTTCTTTTTAAATTGTAGTGGCTCTTTCATTTGTTTTGAAATGATTAAATGTTATTTATAGAATATTAAAAAAAATTTTGATTATCACCGTCCGACGGTTTATTTAAGTCTTAAAAAATTCTAAGCCCAGGGTCAGATCATAGCAATGCTTTTATATAGCATATTTGATTTTTTTTTAATTTAAACTTATAAATATATTTCGTTTGGGTCAAGTCTAAATCAGTTGTGTTATAGACAAGTTGGGTTTCAAGCCCGGCTTCTCAACATGATTAATAAATGGTTTAAATTCGAGTTTATGTCCAAACCCAATGAGCCCTTTAACCTAAATTGACACATGTACATGCATCCAATGATTTTGATATTCTACCTAGAAAACTACTAATTAAATTGGAAATAAAGAAAAAAAATCAAAACCTGCATATATTTATTTTCTAAAAACCTGAAGGATTTTTGCACCTTAAAGTCTAAAGATTGTCAATGATGGATGGGATTATGGGCACAGCATTGAAATCTAACATATTTGCAGGCTAGCCACTAAAACCAACAGTATTTTAAATGGTCTACATTAATGCAACGAAAATTAGAATTTATAACACTTCATTCGTAACTCGACCATATAGTGAAAGTCATGCTATCGTTTTCCCGGTCGTTAACCCAGAGCCCTTTCCAAAAAATTGTTCATTTAATTCCTCAACTAGATCCATCAACTTAGTATTATGACATGGTCCTTTTTATATGTAAAAGTGACTAAAAATCTTAGAGTCAAAGATTCTTATTATACAGAACTAGCCATTGTTAATCCACATTTTGTATACAAGGATACACTGGTGAGTATAAGCATTAAGCAAGCATATAAACATTAATCATAGAACAAGCAGCTGCATGGACATGCAATCAAATGTAGACGTTTCGTTAACAAATAAGAATTACATTGAAACAAAAGATACCTTCCAATCAGAGTACACTAGTGTCTCATTGAGGTCCAGAACAAGTGTAAAGACATGTTGTTCCTGAGGATGTAAATCTGGGAGAAGCTTGTCAGATGAAGGTTCGGTAAAGCCCTGCTCAGAAACCAAGAAAAGAAAATGAAGAAAAACCTAAGAAACCATATGAGCACAGCATACCCACCCAACAAGATTACCAACCCGGACATGTTCTTCAATTGATCTCCTTAAATCAATATATAGCTCAATGGCCTTGGCGGGCACTGTACAAATGAAGGAATGCTACTTCAATAAATGAACAATCAATTTCAAACTTAACAAAAAGAAGATAGACTCAACTGAGCTTACAGCTATGGTTAACAAACACACTTACAATATTCACTTTGAAAGAATAAAAATAAGCAAAATTCTGCGGTGCAAATGATCACTTTAGGAGGCATTTAGTAGTAATATTTTGTACAAAAATAATCGCTATTGTTGACTTTCAGAATTCAGCGGGATTAATTTATTGATATGAAAAGAGGTATAAATATCCTTAAATGAATCCATAAAAAAGAAAAGAAAAGGGAAATAACAAGAAAAAGAAAATAGCATAAAAGAAAAGATAAAACACTTGTATCTCCATTTAATCAATTCATGATAATTACTTGGAGATAAAGGAAATGACAACAAATAGGAAAGCCTAAAACAGGAATGAAAATAAATCTAATTCAAGGAAATGAATTCAATCCTCATAACTTCTAACATGAATAAATTATTTCCTGATATAACTTCTAACACTCTCCCTCAACTCTCCCTCAAGTTGAAACAAAACATGGTTGACAACCATGTTCAACTTGGATTTGAAAATATCAAACAATAGGCGAGGAAGATTTTTTGTGAGGTAGAACTTCAAGTCTTCATCTCATACCTGGTAATCAACCTCAAGAGCATTTACAGATTTTTTTTAGTTCTCTTAAACTGCAGTTTCTGCAATGTCTATAGGTAGGGGAAAAGCTCAAACGGGTAATGATGTAGAGAATATTGTAGGGAAGTAGACAACTTAAAGAAAAAACTGACTTCTAATTGACTACGGTTGTCTTTGACTGGAATTTTTCTGGAAATTTTGCAGTTTTTGTAAATAGACGGAAGGTTTCTATTGGTAATGCTACAGGGAAGTTTACATGAAAATAGACAACCTGTAGGAAAAGTTGCATGGTATGATTGCAGGGAAAAGGAAAAATATTTGACGGGAAAGTTGCTAGATATGGCCTGCAAGTAAAAAGGAAGAACACTAGCAGGAAAAGCTGAAGGGTATGGCCTACAGAAAAAGAAAGAAGATTTGCAGGGAAAGTTGCAGGATATGGTTCTGCAAGTAAAAAATAAAACGCCAGCAGAGAATGATGCAGGGCATGGCCTGCAGGAAAAGCTGCAAGGTATAGCTTGCAAGTAAAAAAAAAAAGAAAAAACACTTGCAGAGAAAGCTGCAAGGTATGGCCTGCAGAAAAAGAAAGAACGCCTGCAGGAAAACCTGCAAGTTAGGGATTGCGAGTAAAAGAGGAACAAAGGCGGGCTTGCTGCAGGAAAAAATTATGGATTGTTTGCTACAGGAAAAAGTTGTGGAGAAAGGCGTGTTGTAGGGGAAAGTTATGGAGGAGGTCATGTTGTAAGGAAAAGCTCCGGAGGTCCTGTTGCAGGGAAAAGCGCAGAAGGAGGTCCTATTGCAGGGAAAAGCTCGGGAGGAGGGTCTGTTGTAAGGTTTCCCCGGAGGAAGGTCTGTTGTAGGAAAAAGCTTCAAAGGTAGGCTGCGACAGAAAAACCTTCGGATGCGGGTCTACCGCAAAAAAAAACACTGAAGCTTGGGCAACAGCAAGAAAAAAGCTCTGAAGAAATGCCTGCTGCAGAAAAGCTCCGGAGCCTTATTAATCATAATGGCAGTTACAGTGTTGAAAGTGATCGCATCTTCAGTCATACCACCTGCAGATTTGACAAGGTATTGCACTACCACCACAGGGTGAACATAGTGGTGAATACAATAATCGTTGACGTTATCAAGCCTCCCTTTAAAGCTCCTCTTAGACGCCCCAAATCCTCTGCTGCCCACAATAATAGCACAGAGCCCAAGCCTCTCCACCTCTAGGCAGAGCCTCTCTTCCATGTCATGATCCTTTACAATGTGGATCTTGAAGGGGATATGTCACTCTAAAAGCGGCGGGATGAGATGTGCTTTGGTGATAGTGAAGGCAACAAAATCTTCCTCAAGTTCCTATTGCGACTGCTCGAAGTCAGCCTCTTCAGTGGCAGCCGCAAGCTCTAAAACGAAGTGGTCTATCCATCCTCAATCAGCAACATAAATTAAAAAAGTGGAGTGAACATGAAGGAGGATGACAGCATCACCAAGTCGAAGGAAATTATGGACAACCCAATTCACAGCATTGGCGCTTTCTTCTCCCAAAACTACAATGATCGCAATTCGAGAATGAGAGCTAGCCATGGGGTCGACGCTGCCGTGGACAAGAAGAAGAGTTGTTGTGATGATGGTTGAATAATATGTGCTACAGCGGCTAACGCTGATGCTGCAAGGAAATATAAAAACTCCTGTTGGGAAACATAAGGGAAGCCTATAGTGGCCTGCAAGAAGGTTTAGCAGCACAAGCCAGCAGGAAAACTGCAGCAGCGAAATTTCCCAGCCAGCAATGGGAGAGCCAACAGTGAATACAGCGATCGAACCTTGCAGAGACAGGAGTTTCCAGCAGGAAGAAGGCGGGGAAGAAAAAAAACAGCAATAGCAACTTACAGGAATTCTAGCGGATAATTTTTGCAGGAAAGAGTACTTGCTGCTAAAGCCTACAGGGAGAAGAAGTTTCCGACATCTAGGGTCTGTAGAAGAAAATTCTGACGGCGGGAAAGTCTCGAGAAGGAAATTATGGCGAAAAAATTGAAAAGAGAATGTGGAGGAAGGCCTGCAGCACAAAAAAAATTGTCAGCTGATGGAAATAGGAATTTTCGCCAATTGGAGACTCTAGGATTTGCTCTAATATCATGTTGATTTTCATAATTGAGCTGAATTATTTTATTAAACACCGTCATTGTCAGATCTCAAGCCTCGGATGTGAAAAGTAAAGGTTTGTGTTAGGTAATCGATTGCTAGCATAAAATTTGTCGACAAATCATGACATGAGTTCTTTTGATCATTATTTAAATGCTAGGGCATCCCCTAAAAACGATGCGTTGTATGGTCAGAATACAATTAAAAGTGCGCAAGGGCTGCAACACCAGCGTCCGAGTGTAATGTCAAATAAACAAGGGCTCTGACATTACAGACGGATGCGGATAAAAACGTTACTCCATGAAACTAATATTAGGATAAAATGCTAAAATAAAAGAACTCTCACATGTAAATTAATGAAATTAGTTAATATTATGATTTATCGAAAGATAAATATCTTATGTATTCAAGAAACTAAATGGGTTGAAGCAAAAGACTAAGGAGATCGGTAGGTATTAAATTTTGGTATTCAAGTGAGAGTCGCACTAGAAATGATGCAGATATAATTATAGATAAGAGTTTGAAAGATAATATTGTAAAAATTAATAGAATTAGAGATAGAATTATAACTCTTAAGTTTATTGTTGATACTAAAATTTTTAAACATTATAAGTGTTTATGTTCCTCAAGTAGGTTTAGATATGGGTTCCAAAAAAAATTCTAAAATGACCTAGAAGACTTAATACAAATAATGCCTCTTGAAAAAAAAATTTATTGGAGGAGATTTAAATGGACATATCGATAGAGCGATAGAAGATTTTACAAATACTCATGGTGGCTATAGTTTTAGAGTGATTAATGAAGAAGACAAAGTTATATTAGATTTTGCTTTAGAGTATGATTTTGTTATTTCTAATAATTTATTCATGAAAAGAAATGAGCATATCATTACTTATAAGAATGGTTCTAATAAAACACAATTTGATTATTTTCTAATGAAAAGAAGAGGTCGTCAAGAATATAAAGATTATAAGATCATTTCAAGTGAGAATTTAATTGCTTAACATCAATTTTTAGTCGTAGATTTCAAGATGAAGAGTTATAAAATAAAGAATATTAGGAATCATTGTCGTAGAATTACTTGGAGGCAGCTAAATGACAAATAAAATTATTTTTACAAATAAACTTCAAGGTTTCAAGATTTTGGATAATCATGAAGGAGCAAATTCAATGTGGGATAAAATAACAGGCACTATTAAACAAGTGGCAAAGATGTATCTGGAGAATAAAAAAAATTCTATAAATAAAAATAGTTGGTGGTTGAATAATAAGATGAAGAAAAGATAAAAATATAAGAAATTATGTTATAAAAATTGTTTTAAATGTAAAAGCATAGAAAATTGGGAAAAATATAAAATGACCCAATTGATGTCTAAGAGAACCCTCTGTGACGCTAAAAAATTATGTTTTTAGTGATCTTTATTACAGATTAGATACTAAAAAGAGTGAAATATATATGTACAAACTAGTTAAACAAAGAAAAAAAAGTAAAAAATTAACTTAAGTGTTAGAAAAAATCAAAAAGTATTTTTCTTAAAAAAAGATATTCAACATAGATGGGTGAGTTATTTAGATAAACTTTTTAATGAAGTATATGAAAATACGATAAATCTAAGTGATCTTAATATCATTAATAATAATAAAATATTTCATTTTTACCGTGACATTAATATAATAGAAATTGAGAAGGTTTTAAAGAAAAATAAGGGTGAAAAGGCTGTAGAATCTAATAATATCCCAACTGAAATATGGAAATATATAGTAGATTTGGGGGTTTTTTGGACTACTAAATTCTTTAATATTATTTTAAAAACTGAAAGACGCCTGGGGAGTGAAGGAAGAGTATTTTGATCCCCATTTTTAAGAATAAAGGAGATGCACTAGAGTGTGCAAATTGTAGAGGATTTAAGTTGATGTCATACTTTAAAATTATGGGAGAGGGTAATTGAACACTGGTTAAGGTGTGTTACAAAGATTTCTCATATTCAATTTAGACTTATGTTGAGCAGGTCTACTATGGAAGCTATACATTTATTGAAAGGTTTGATGGAGAAGTTCAAAGAGAATAAAGAGGATCTGAATAAAGAGGATCTACATATAAAGAGGATCTACATACGATTTTATTGATTTAGAATAAGCTTATGGTAAGGTTGCAAGAGATATTCTTTGAAGAGTTCTAGAGATAAAAGGTGTTGATAAGAATTATATTCAAGTCATTAAAGATGTGTATACTAG